GTGTTTCTTGTAACAGTGATAATTAAAAAACTGTGTTTTTCTCGTGTTTCTTGTAACAGTGATAATTAAAAACTGTGTTTTTCTCGTGTTTCTTGTAACAGTGATAATTAAAAACTGTGTTTTTCTCGTGTTTCTTGTAACAGTGATAATTAAAAACGGTGTTTTTCTCGTGTTTCTTGTAACAGTGATAGTTAAAAACGGTGTTTTTCTCGTGTTTCTTGTAACAGTGATAATTAAAAACGGTGTTTGTTCTCGTGTTTCTTGTAACAGTGATAATTAAAAACGGTGTTTGTCTCGTGTTTCTTGTAACAGTGATAGTTAAAAACGGTGTTTTTCTCGTGTTTCTTGTAACAGTGATAATTAAAAACGGTGTTTTTCTCGTGTTTCTTATAACAGTGACAATTAAAAACGGTGTTTTTCTCGTGTTTCTTGTAACAGTGACAATTAAAAACGGTGTTTTTCTCGTGTTTCTTGTAACAGTGATAATTAAAAACGGTGTTTGTCTCGTGTTTCTTGATAATAATATGGACAGAGTGCTTTTTTATATACAGTTCATCCTTTCATTCTAGGAATTAAGGAGTACAGTCTATTTAGTAGGCGAAATTCTGCTGTCAGACGGTCGGATAGAAGTGTTAAAAGTACAAACTGTTTGGGTTCCAGAGGTAAGGATACGAAAGAACGTGGAATTATAGCCTTAAAATGTTAGAAAATAATCAATTTAAAATTCGCACTTCATTTAGCTGCCACCTTTTTAAAACAAATTACTCCATCTCATCACTGTGAATAACAATCACAGGCTTTTGTCAGTGTCTAAAAAGCACATGATAAGCCTAAAAATATGATTTTCTTGTGTATCAATTACAAGAAAGTTCAGTTTTAATTATGACTTTACGAAAACGTGATTCAGTATGCGTGCAGACAGAGGTTATGTTTTAGTTATACAAGTTCTTATTTCTTTTAAAAGCACTGTATATCTGTGTATTTACAAAAAAATTCGTTCGAAATTACATTTCTTCCACAAAGATTAAGTTAACTAAGTTACTTACATTATCTTTTCTTTAGAGATACTTTACTGGTTGGGTACATTTTAGGTCTGGAACTGATTTTTCATTTTTTACCAATGTTTCGTTTTCAAAAGATAATCTGTTACTGTTCAAACTGTATACAGTTGTAGATAAGCAGTCTTATTTCAAAACTTATAAATGCAAATAAAACGTTTAATCCCGTTTTATTCCATTCGTTGCAAATAGGGCTCAATCACAGCAACAAGGGATTGCAAGTCACATTACAACCTCTGTTTTTTGATGTGTCACAAAGTGAACCAGACCCCATCTTTGTTGGCAGAAATTGGTTGTTGAAGGAAATTGAACAGGTAGATTAAGTATTTATTTATGCAACATAAAATGATCCAATGGTATTTTTGTCTAGATTACCGTGAAGCCATTCGCGAAAAACAAACTTGGAATTCTTTAAAAGAATAATAACATGATTGGATAATTCCCGAGACATGTCAGTACATCGTATCATTATTCTATCAAGCCTTCAGTGCAATCGTAGTTTGCTTGGTGTGGCCTGTTGGTTAGGGCGCTAAACCCGCAATTTACGGATCGCGGGTTCGAATCCACCTCACTGAACATGCTCATCCCTTTCAGCCATGGTGGCGTTATACTGTAATGGCCAATCACACTTTTCGTTAGGGACAGATAGCACAGATAGCCCTCCAGTATCTTTTGCACGAAATTCAACAAACAAATAAAGGAATCGTAATTGAGATTTTATACGCATAAAATGTGATGGACTTCCACAGAAATATATTTGGTATTACAGTAAGCCTTAATTCAAATATTCTGAAGCTTCTTACTAATAACAGCTAAAATAATGGTTATTAAGAAAGTTCAGCCACGTTGGGTCTGGCATATCCAGGTGGTTAGGGCGCTCGACTCGCAATCTGAGGGTCGCGGGTTCGAATCCCCGTCCCATAAAACATGCTCGCCCTTTCAGCCGTGGGGGCGTTATAATATGACGGTCAATTTCACTATTCGTTGGTAAAAGAAGAGCCCAAAAGTTGGCTGTGGGTGGTGATGACTAGCTGCCTTCCCTCTAGTCTTTCGCTGCTAAATTAAGGACGGTTAGCACAGATAGCCCTCGTGTAGCTTTGCGCAAAATTCAGTCCCAGGTCCACCGGTGATTACGACCCCATTGCTGTCAGAAGACATTACCTACAAAAGTTGAGAAATTACTAGCTGTGTAACGAGAATTTATCAAAGTTATATCTTCTATCAGGAATCGTATATATATTTTATAAAACAAGGAAAATTCACAAAATTAACCCGTAAAAGCTAATTATAACACGTGTACTATTTTCGAAATATTATTCCTGAAAAAAATAAATAAACATGCAACACCTACAAATTGGGAATTTAGAAAATCGGTTGTTTAATGAATCAGGGGTAAAGAAAGCCGGTAGCTCTCTGTTTATCAGATTCAAACAGCTAAAACAGAAAAACGTTTTAAGTAGACATTTTTACCTGTTAGTAACAGAGATTTCCTGAGGTTCTCGGATGCAGTGATAACTCTTTAGGTAAAACACAAGCGTTGATCGAAATTAAAAGTAAAATATCAAGTTGCCTGTTTGTTATTTAGCAAGAAATTGAGAATCTTAAATCGTACAATTTTAATCAATGTGGCTGTTTGTTTGTTTTGGAAAAACGGCTATAGCCCTACAAATTGTTGATCACAGCGCATTTGGTTCTAAGAAAGACGAACACATCTACCATGGTTTGTAATAGAAACCTTATCTATTTCTGATGTTTACAGGTTTGCCATACAAATGTAATTATTGCTTTTCTATACTAGGATTTTTTTCTGTAATAGCAATTATGAAGATTACATATTGGTATTGCGCTGATTAGAAAAATGTGTTACAACGTTAATAATTTCCACTTCAGTGTATCTTGTTACATTTAATGTTTAAAACTTTTATCATGTTCCCATTACGTAAAAAAATATTAGTCAATTTACAGAAATCTGTAAAACAGTAGCCAACGAATTGGCGGTGAGCGTTGTTGACTTCTCTCTAGTCTTAACATTCCTAACTTAGGAGCGGCGGGGATTATATGTCAATCAGCAGTAATTCTGGCATATACCTCGTTGGTAAAAGAGTAGCACAAGTGTTGACGGTGGGTGATGATGACTAGCTGCCTTCCCTCTAGTCTTTCACTGCTAAATTAGGAGACCGTTCAATCTCTTACATCAATACATATTCTGTTTTGTTTTCTTTTCAGATATATCCAATGATAGTGGGGATTATATGTCAATCAGCAGTAATGCTGGCACATACCTCTACCAATCTCGACTCAGTTTAACTCAGGAAACAGCTCGATCTGTTGGTGGCCACGTGGTAGCGTACCACTTCTGCCAGGTCGACAACAACGTCACTTGTCTGGTCCCAGATTTTGTTCACAGCATAGCTTCTCAACTTTGCCTCGCCCCACAACTGGTGGCTTATAGAGAATTCTTAGTGCAAGAACCAAGGTTTGTATCCTGCAAAATTGATGACAAAAACAATGCCAACATAGTTTTTATAGCAAAGTTTGTATCCTGCAAAAATTGATGACAAAAACAATGCCAACATAGTTTTTATAGCAAGGTTTGTATCCTGCAAAATTGATGACAAAAACAATGCCAACATAGTTTTTATAGGTTTTACTAAAACAGTTCTACTTTAGTTCATACCAGCTTATCAGAAGTTAAACCTTTTTTTAAAAAAATAAAGCACAATAAAAGTGTTCTATATAGAATGTTCAACAAGAACTCAAACTGAGCCAATCACGTGTAGTTGTTTGTGCAGTTGGAAAGCAAGATTTGTGCAATAGTATATAAGCTCTGGAATCAGTTTTTATAAATAAAATATACTATTATGCATCGTTAAATTAATTATTACCTGCCTGTGCTACCGGCTGATATACTCGCCTGCCATCTAGTGGTGAATTGTTTTAGTTTAACCCTATTTACTGCTCTAGTCCAATTAAAGAGAGTGAGTAAACTGTGGCAAAATGTTTGGTTCGTAAATTTTACCGATGTGTGGATTGGATGACGATATTAGAATTTCATTAAACACGAGCGACAAGCAACGTATCTTAAAGTTATCATGAAATTATTACCAAGTAAGATTATGGAAAGGAGTGGGACGGAATGGGTTGGTTTAATCTGGAACTCCATTTGTGTAGTTGAAAGAAAAGCCTAGAATATGTGTGAAATGAGCACTCTATGAAATAAGTCTAATAACTACGATATAAAATCTACAGAAATGTTAATTATAAATTAAGCAACTTCTAAATGAATATAGAATATTGCTAAAGTAGAGATTCCACGGAAGAGCTATTTTCCATCTTTAAAACACCCGTATCCATTCTAATATAGAATAGATAACAAATTATAAATGTCAGTTGCTTTAGCACAGAGCAACACAATGGGTCATCTGCATTATGTCAACCGCTGAGGTTTATAAATACAGACTGCAAAATACATTAGTAAAAGGCAATATATAAGTACAAAGGGTGGAGCAAGTTATATGAAAACGGTTTTCAATATGTAAATCAGCAAGTCTCATGATAAACAAAGCCGATATAAAGGTGCTGTGGAACGGAATGTATTGGCCCTATTTTTTGACATTGTTTGTTATTTCATAGGTAGTGTGATGCCACGGAGAATTAATCGCTTTGAGAGGGGTAAGTACCAGCCATTCCGGATGCAAGATATTCATATATCGGGGATTGAGACTTTTCATAACGGGATATCCCTTGACTTAATGTCATGGGAAATAAAGGAATATGGATCAACTTGGAGTGCTTGGATCATTCAGAAAAATACTTGTAAAAAGTCGTAAACCAGTTATGGTACGCAAATCGCAGTGTCTTGTAGATGGTGAGAATCCAGCAAACGTAAAAGTCAGTAGCAAAAGCTGTCCGTGTGTTCCAGATAACAGTACACAATATAATTGAGAAGGATCTCCATCTGGAAAAGTGATAGAAATCTTGTGTACACAAGCTGCTTCTACGACACATCCATTCAACCATACGACGACATACCGGTCAAGTCGCCAGAACAGTGCCGATGGACTTCTCTGTGATAGGGCTGTTGAACGGATGCTGGGAAACCATCGTCCTCGTACACTAAATGGACTATGAATGGCTTGCAGGGAGGAGCGATATGCTTTGGACATGATAGTCTTACGATGGGTCTTTTCTCAATAAAAACTACGCTGCAGGGCTATTGTCGTGATGCACAATCGTCAGATAGAGCATGACTGTACATGGTGACATAGACTGTAACAATTTAAAGGGGCTCCTAAATCGTTTTGATACAACGTATTCAAACACTATAAATATGTATGTATGATATGTGTGTGTGTGTGTGTGTTTCTATTATTTTTTTTCCAGAACTGGTGCTTTTTCCTAAAAAGTTTAGTTATGTGTAGTTTTGTGTTGGTTGCAGATATCAGCAGCTTTTGAGCATGACCTCGTGTGTTAGCAATGCTTCAGAGGCTTTTGTACGTGGTGTCCTCGAGCCACTGAATACGTTGAGAAGATTTGGTAAGATTCCTAACACCACGTGTCTCGTAGTGGTTGATGGACTAAATGAGGCAGAATACCATAAACCAGACTTTGGTGACACGATTGCATGTTTCCTGTCTAGACATATACATCATTTTCCATCATGGTTAAAGGTCAGTAAAGTAGTTTATATTTCTGTAAAGTTGCTTTCTAAAAACTTTTGTTATTATTTCAGTAGAACTTAACAAGCAGTAAGAAGAAACGCCCAAGAGCTATTAATTGTTTTAATCAGTTTTTGAAGGTAAAACAAAAACATATTTCTCTTACTAGTGTAGTTTCGTCTTAGATAAAATATCTTTTTTTACAGGTAATTGTAACTGTACGCCCGGCTTTCCAGGAAGTAACAAAGACGCTTCCTTTTCATCGGATCTCACTAGACAAACTTGCAACTAATGATAATCTGAAGCGCGATATATACGACTACGTTATGTATCGGTTAGGATCCAGCCACTCCATCCGTGAAAATATTACAGTAAGTAAAGGACAAGGAGAGGCAGCATCCCATACGAGGTGAGGATAACGCCTTTTTTTATTATATACACTGAGTGGTCACAAGTAAATAGACACCTAATTTTTCGTCATTTAATTGATTTATGCTAACTAATTTGTGTTCACATAGCA